TTTTATTTTCCAGCCCCTAGACCAGTTTAGTCGCCCTTCTTTGGACTCGCTCCAGGAGCTCAATATCTCTCTTAAAGCGAGGGGCCCAAAACTGGACACAATATTCCAGGTGCGGCCTCACCAGTGCCGAGTACAGGGGCAGGATCACTTCCCTGTTCCTGCTGGTTACACTATTCTTGATACACGCCAGTATCCCATTGGCCTTTTTGGCCACCTGGGCACACTGCTGGCTCATATCAAGCCGGTAGTCAACCAACACCCCCAGGTCCTTCTCCGCCAGGCAGCTCTCCAGCCACTCTTCCCCGAGCCTATAGCGATGCTTGGGGTTTTTATACCCCAAGTGAAGGACTCTGCACTTGGCCTTATTAAAGCTCATGCCATTGGCCTCAGCCCAACGATCCAGTCTGTTCAAATCCCTCTGAAGGGCCTCCCTTCCCTCGAGCAGATCGACACAGCCTCCCAGTTGTTGTTTTTTGTTTTGTTTTGTTTTTAAGTGTTCAGCTATTCAAGGTGTAGGGCCTTGATTTTTGCTGGTCAGCAAGAAACACTAAGTATTTGTCTCAGTGATTTCAGTAAAATCAATGGGACATATGCTATTTCAGGAAAATTCTGGGCAACGCTACGTTTAAGACATAAAATTGTTACACATCATTCAGAGATCTGGAGATAAGATAGCATAACTAGCAGCTTACATGAAAGCTAGATGGCATCTTTAGTCTCTTACCAATGTATAAAAAACCCACAAAAATAATCCACCTATTTAAATGGAAATTAACATTTCTCTTTCACCTGTTAGTCTAAATGGCATCTTCTCAAGTTTGACAATTTTATAGAAAAATCCTAGCTAATGTCCATGAAACAGAATAGTGAAGAGCTCCAAGTCCTCCTCACTGCAATATATCGTATTTAAATTTGAAATGTGACTGTGCTCTAATGCACAGCATGTGTTACAGGAGAGAAATTATGGTATCTGTAACTTACACTTCAAGCCCTGAAAATTGGTAAATTTAACACTTTTAGTAACTGTATAAATATCTCACATAAGTCTGTAGCAAATTTCTTCTTTAAGTGAAATTGGAAGTTATTTCTCAGTAGCAATTTTTTATTGAACTCCGTAAGGCTATATAGTCAAGGGGAGTGTAACGGAGTGACACACAACTTACATAAAAGGATTTGCCTTGGAACAGCTAATCCTTTTTCTTATCTGCTTTAATAATGTGTTCACATTTATTTTGTCTTGGGATTTAATGATGCATCCTAAAATCCGTTTGTTGGTAGTACTTTTCAAACAGGTAATGACATAATCACGGTAATAATAATAATCATATATGCCTCTATCATCATATATAAATATGGTAGTTACCACTCTTTTGTAAGAATCCACAACAACGTTTTGATTTTTCTTATATTTGAAATCCAAAATTGTGCCCTTAACATTCTTTAAAAGGCTAAAATGAATTCTTGTCCTTTGAAGATCATCAACAGTTTCTTTAACTGAAAGATACTAATCTGTTGCTCAGGGGATTTTTGTATCAGCCTTGCTTTGCTTTTTCTTACCTTTGTGGAAGTCCTGTCACCAGGATGGTTATGCATTTAGTAGATCTACTGCTGTGGATGGATCCCATTAGCATTATTGCGGGAGGAAAAGAACACCACACTGAAAATTTTCCTGTTCCATCCATTTTCTTCTTCCTCTATGCATTGGCAGAGGACTACATTTTACCGTAGATTTCCAGAGTAAGATTGACCAGACAAAATGCAGCCATCTACACACAAGCTAGTCAGCTAGACTTCCTTTGAAGTCAGCAGAGAGAAACAGACCCTTCAAACATTCGGTTCATCTCAGCCCAAGGCAGACATCTCAAATATGGATGTCTGAAAACAGATGAGACGAATCCTCTTCTCCTAAAGGCCTGAGTGCTTTCCAGGAAGAGGAAAAATAGTTCTGTCAGATCTTCCACACAAGTTTTCACTGACTACATCGGTTTCTGAAACTACATTCATGAAAAATGCAGGAAACGTCAGTCTCCTGTGTTAAATATCATTTGCATGAAAGGGAAATGAGTGTAACCACATTTTTTTCCTGCAGTACTTTGGAAAGCTTTTCATTAGCTCCCATATACATAGCATATAGCTATTTCAAGTGTATGGCAGCTGAAAAAAACCAGCATGTGGTTTTGGCAACATCTCAATCTTTTATTTCAATCTTTTGTGGAAAATGAGTGCTTCCAACATCAGCCTTTCGCGTTTTCTTATTTTGTATGTTTCTGAAGGTTGCTGCTTACTCCATGACTTTTTATGACATTGGTACTCATACAATTGCAGATATTGTTCATGATTTGTCTGTAGCCAGACTCCTAGGTCAGATTTTTTTTAACATAGATCTTGTTTTAAATGTAAAACTTGACAGCAATTAATCAGCATGTTAATATTTCCCCTCTCCACCTACTAACACAGTACTTTCTGCCACTGAGCACACTATATAAAAACTTCACTAAGGCTGAAAACTTGATGTTTCTGGTATCCTTTTCTAGTCCATAAAGTTATCCGAGTACTCCGCCCTAATGGGTGTTGCACAATATTTGCATTTTTTTTTGGAACTAGACATATGCCTCCAAATTCCTACTGACCATGAAGAAGGTCAAAGACAGCCTCACCAGAAAAATTTATCATCATCAGTAACAATACTTCATCGTCAGTAATGAGAGACAAGACACAAAGGCCATAGCCCAGATTTGTGCCTTGTCAAGCTAGGCTTTGCAGAAATACATTGAAGAAGCCAACAGCCATCCCAAGAAATCGTAATCAAACTAAAAATCAGACACAAAAAGTTAGTGTGATAAGCAAAATAAGAAATGCTAACTAAGTAAAAGACAATGTAAGAAAAAAATCACATCGTTTTTTGATAGATACTCAGTTAGCTCTCCAGCATATAATATCCATGTACTCAAATTCCATGGAAGATCAGACCATATATCTTCATTGTTTTTTGAATCCTATGACTTGTGATACCATTTTCTATGCAGACAGCTCTTCAGAGAAAATGCACGGCAATGGGACACGGTGGATGTGGAGAACTGCTTTCCTTCTCATGCACAAGCTCATGATATTTTAATTAATGACATTTCATAGTATATGTGAATATTTAGAAAGTGTTTAAAAAGAACTAAATTCTGTTGACCAGATTCAAATTCCCACTGAGCAGAACACTCCAAACTCCACCAAATCAATAATTTACTTTGAGCCACTCTGGGAGATATTTTAAGAGATTAAGGTATTTTTATTAAAGGAATCAGGATATGATGTTACATAAGTAGCTGGAGAGATCAAGTCCTTGTATCAACAGACTAAAATCAGGGATAAAAGAATTGAAATTAGCTGCAGCAGATAGAGCTCTGAGGCATTTTGCTAAACATCTTTATGAAAAAGATCTTTTTCTATCCTTGTTCAGTCAATCTTCAGCTTCTCTGCTGAGATTGCCAACAGAGTGCCATCTAGAGTGACTCTTTTTGAATGTTGAAAGTTACTGTTTAGAAATAGGACAAAAATTTGAATTAAATCTAAGTAAAATGTATTACAAGTTTTAAGATAATACAAAAAATACCAGTGAACTCTTCTGCTATAGAGCTTTTAAATGATTCCATTACACTGAAATGAGACTATGCATTATCTCTGCAGGAGATAATTCTAATTCTCTAAATTCTGTGGAAACATTTGAAAAACATCACTATTGAGAAGTCAAAGCTCCAGTGCTTTTGGTAATACTTAGGAGTGAGTCCACAGCACTACAAGAAGAAAAAAAAGCCAGATCAGCAGACATCTTCTGATGTGACTGAAATCAGCCCTGCATGGAAACTTACTTTGTGACATTTATTTCTAATTTTGTTTCTGATACTTATTTAGATTATATATCTCCTATCTCCTACCTCCGTTTTGGGCCACACAGCGTAGCATGAAGCATTTGATTGTACAAGGATGTAGTATAACAACATTCTCTATATATCTGGGAAATCTTTGACCTATGGCATATTCTTTCAGATCCAGATACAAGTCAGTTTTCAGGAAAAAAAGGACTATTGACAAAAGAGAGGAGCACCATGTTGACAATGGCACTCTCAGACATAATAGTCAATGCCAATGTAGTTT